AGATTGCTGAAAAAGAAATAAGGAAATCAGTATCGTTTACAACAAACCAAAAACCAAAACCACTGCCACTGAGTTGGAGCCAACATATAGCAACCTCCTCCTTAGGTTTCCGAGGCAGTATCACTACAGAAGTAAACTCCCCAATCTGCCTTCTGAGGAGTGGCTGGTGGGTCTGAACGGCCAGCCTTCTGGTTACCAGTCAAATGCTTTAGGCATTATGCCATTACTATCCTCATTTTATTCATAAAGAAAATGAAACAGAAAGAGTAACTTATCCAAGATTACATAGCTAGAGACTCCTGGCTCCAGAATCCAGGCATTTCAGTGACATGTTATGTTGCCTCTCATGCACAATGCACCTTTTCAAACTATTTATTTTACATGGCATATGACTACACTGACAACACTAAGGCTACTAAAGTTATAATATAATTATATTATAATGTTTAGAAGGCAACAGATATCATTTGCAAGGACTTACAGGCTTACCAAGTTTTTTTCCACCGAGACTGATTACTAGATGGTTTCAAATTAAAATATCATTAATGTAAAGACTTTTGAAATAAAATGAGAATACCTCTAAAATGACATTTTTATATTAGCATGAAGTTTAATCTTTTAGAAGTTATTGCCAATATTCTGACCTGCTTGAGAAGCTGGCAGTGTACCTGGCAATGCATTTGGTAGCAGACCTCCTGAGGGAAGAAGGCCACTCAGATTTATTCCTGCAGGAGTTATGGCACCAGTGTTACAGCCCAGCATGGAGTTTGAACCACTCATCAAAGCTTGGGCTCCACTGCAGGAGAATAAAGACAAAGCATTAAACTTGAACTGTAAAAACAATATCAGGTACATAATAATCCCTACATCCACACACACAGACATATGCACACACAAAAAATAAACCCCGGAAAACAAAAGCAAACCAACAACTAAACAATCACAGTAAGATAGTCTTAAGTATCAATTCTGTGATCAGTTTTTTTTTTATGCTAGACAGTGATAGCAAGATTAAGTATTTACCATATACATTTGTATTCTACCACAATACCCACTTAAAAGTTTGTTTCCTGCATGCTACCTTTGGCCTAAAATATTTAGGACAAGTATAACTCTAGATAAGGGATTAAATGATGGTAACACAGAGGACAAGCAGAAAATCTAAGCTGCCCTCCATGTGAAGCATCATCTTAGTATAGTTAATAGATGTATTACCTAAAATTTAAAACATACATGCTGAAGCAGTTTCTATATGTATCTGTTTTCTTTCAGTCTGAGTAATATGCAATTTGTTAATTTCACAAATAAATTGTTTTTTAGACTTGTGAGAATATCTTTAAAAAACAGTACATCAATGCAAACTTACCAAACAGAGCCCATTACATTGATGAAGTTAAGTCCAGCAGAGTTTGCCATGACTTGAGTGGCCGTGGTTCCTGTAGTTATAGATGTTACCATAGTAGAAAGAGGAATGGTCGTTACAGGCATTGCCTGGCTCAGAGACCTTTGCTGCTGAGCAAACTGAGTTAACAAAGTGGGCTGAGGGGTGAAGCCTGAATCTTGGGGAGTAGGGGTGGCAGAAGGGGTAATAGGAGTTGAGCTCTGAGCATCAGGAGGGTGTGGGGTCGATGAAGGGGTTGGTGTAGGAGTAGATGGCTTAGGAGTTCCAGATCCTGCTCATTGAGAAAAATAAAAATTGCTAGTTTGTTATAAATGGCCAGTCCTTTTAAAAATAAGGTTAATGGAATCTTACTTAGCACTGACAATTTGTTCTTGTTTTTTTTTTTTTTTAAAGCAGTAAACTGCAAGTATTAATTTCTACACATGATACATGAGTGTTGCTACACTCAATTACAATTAAGGATGCAGTATATCACCTAAAAGTTCCCATAAAAGATGCTATTGCAGTAACAGTAAAAATATACATTTGTATTCTACCCTAGTACCCACTTAAAAGTTAGTTTCCTGCATGCTGCCTTTGGCCTAAAATATTTAAAGGAATTTGAATTAATTTTTGTTATTTAAGACATTACTATTTGAGAACTTCATTTAAAAATATTGCTCATCTTCTGTTAACAATCTCAGATAAACTGTGAATACGATGAATGAATTATGTAAGGTTAATAATCGTATTTGGCACCTAAATATACATGTTTAATTCCTAACACATCAAGTTTTCTGACAAATTTACAAAAAACATTAATAAAGCAAGTATTTGATAGATAATACTGCATCTTTAACAGTAACTGTGTACTTCTATTTAATTGTAGAATGTACAGAAAATTTGTTGTGAATGAAGTATGCACAGTTTATCAATTCTTTAAAAAAAACAAAAACAAAAAACAAAAACCAAAAAAGTAAAACCAAAAGCTCTTGAGGTGTTTTCTTTTTTTAGCTTTCATGTCCTGCAGAAAGAAAGGAAAGAAATGTGAATGTCCAGAAGCTGTCACTCAACCCTTACTTAAAGTAACAACTGTGTGCAGTAGATTAACATAATCTATACCCACAACATAAGTAGTGTGAATAAGACTTTCAGAAAATTTATGTTTTTCTTTGTGCAAAACAAGAAGGCAGAAAAATTACACCTTTTGAGCTATCAAGATGAAGATGTTTATATCTAATGCGAAGACCACTCTATCACTGTGCAGTGTACTAAAACTTTCAGCACGTCAATTATCTATAAAAAATCTAAAAAACTGAAATGCTTTTTCTTTTGACAAACTTGTACTTACAGTATCTCAGATATTTACTAAATTGGAAGAAATTTTCCCAAATTAATGCTAGAATTCTAACACTTCTTGATATTAAAAAAAAAAAAAAAAAAAAAGATTCTGTAGTAAAAATCACAATTTAGTATCTTCAGAATAGTGCTCTCTGATCATCACATTTTAGAAATGGAAAACAATTTATAAAATTGCAGGAGTGTTTATGAAAAATCAGCTTTTAGTTTATTGTACCATCACCTTTGAACTAATTGGCTTCTTACATATACAAAGGTAGGACTGCAGTGACAACTCTTATGATTGTTTTTCCCCCTATCAGCTGCTTAATTTACATAAAATGTAAAATGATCCTAGAAAACACTAGAATAAAAAACTACTTTGGAAACTTATTATCATATTGAGCTACGAGGTTGTTTTTCATGGAGATGTGTAGGCTGTAAGTCTTTAAGAAAGGTATACACAGAGTGCATACATAGATACAGAAAAACAAATACAATTACAATAAACATATAATACATACAATCAACAAGAGATCTGCCTGAAGCTTCTCACAACTTAAACATTTTGGGTACACAGTACATTTAGATTTCACTATCATTGGTGAAAAAAGCTGTCTTATGAGGCACTAATGCAAAAGCTTATGAAGATTTAACAAAGAATTTATGTTATGACTCACTTTGTGATGAGCTTGCAGGTGACAAGGCAGCTGGAGAAAGCATGCTAACTTGACTGAGGTCCACAGATGACTTCCGCGACAGACTTGGTGGTTTAGAAGCAGGAGGAGGAGTTGGAGATTTAAGAAAACTGCTTGCCTGCTGTGCAGTAAAATAGTTACCTAGATGAGAAATTCAAAAGTCATTTCCAAGATTTATAATTCAAAATTTTGTGAAACGTGTAAATGAAAATGGATAAAATTTTAAAAAGAGATGATCCCATGGTAAGATCACATACAAATAAGGAATTTAATACCTGAAGAACTATTTCCTGAACTTGAGGGAAGTTTGATGGGTGGAGGCCGATGCTTTACTCCCTTTCCTAATACTGAAGACTGAACTGATACGGTCTCAGGCTGCTAAGAGAATGACAGTACACATACTTGTTAAAATTAACATTAAATCAAAAATTTGCAAATTAAGATCACTGTAATAATGCCCAATTTAAAACTCTGCAAAGTACCCTTTGCAAAGTACCTATAGATATTATAGACATGACAGAGAAACATAATGAGCCCATGCAACGAATTACAGTATATATAAAGTATAAATGAAAAATACTTTTTAAGTAACAGGGTTGAGAGAGAGTTTGAGGGAGAAGGGTGAAAGAAAAAGGCAAAGCTTCAACCCTGCTATGTTTTCTAGGAAAATAATTTGCAGCCAGGTGATTAGTACACAGGTGCTCATTATACTTTTCGCTCCACTTCTGTATACATTTGAACATTTTTATTATAAAGAGATTTTATTAAAAAAAAAAGTAAAAACCTACTCTCTATTATCCCTGCTTCAAATAGCCAATTTAAAATTTCTCAGATTTCTTGAGAAACAATTATCCACAAAATAGTAACGTTAATCAAACATACTTCTGTTTCTTTCCCTGGAGAATGCTGGCTCAGACTGGCTGAGCCACTGGAGCTGTGTGACATTTTGACTGGACATTTGGCTTCATTCTGGACCAATTCCTGGTACTGATTGACTACCCTGAAATATCAGGGAAAAAATAGGAAAGCATTAGCTAAGTCTGCTTTAAATACACGTTTATCATATAGGAAATACTGTACTGCAATTTAAAAAATAATAAATTCCATCAAAATTAACTCAGAAATTAAAATTAGGCAATTAATTTTTGTATCAACAGTACATTCTTTGAATCTTTTCAATGACAAACAAATGCTTAAAACATTCTGCAAATTAACATCTAAAGAGACTTTCAACATCTTGTTTTTAATACATAAGTTGCAGGGACTATATAATCGATAAAGAGCTAAATTACTGACTGACATTCACTTAGATACCAACTAAAGCACTACCTAGAAACCATCTTCTTTAGCTCCCACGAAATGTCCTAAGTTTTCTTACTAAAAACAAAACTACATTGTAAACATTATTCCTTTAAATTGATTTTTCCTTATTCTGTGAAAAATATTGTAAGTATTAAAATTAGGTAATCTCATAACAAATACGAATATAACCACTCCTACCAGTTTAGTGCGTAGTATCACACCATTTCAAATATTTTCCTAGAATCACTGAATCTTAGCATTTGAAAGAACCTTAGAAATGCTCTAATTTCCAACTGAGGCCCATAAATACAGTTTTATATCCAACCAGTTAAGGACCTAACTAGAATCAAAGGTTTTGATGCCTAATAGAGTACTCCCTACCCTAAGAGAGTTTTTCATACCCCTTCAGGCCAAAAATAGACACAAATATTTTTACCTCTGAGCATCAGTCTTTGATCCAATAATGAACCTAAAATATTTAAAATATAAACAAATAAATAAAAATTAAGTGTTAAAGAGCCCTAGAATTACTTTTTGAAAGCTTCTATATTTTACATATACTAATTCTATAAATTAATTTTAAACATAGCAAGATACCATGAAGAAATTTTAAAAATACAGTTAAACTTATGAAGCAATGACCAAGCTTTGAATGAATTATGAAATAATCTTGCAAACAGTTTATAAAATTAAAGGGAGATTTATTTGGGCAAAGCTAAAATATCAAAAGAAAATTGGGGTATTAAGGGTCTGCCCTATAGCAAAATCATAGATGTACTGTGTGCACAGCCTCTGGCTTTCCTCTCATTTTAACTTTTGATTCCAAAGTGATAATTAATGATTTATACAGCAGGCTCTTAGAATAACATATTTTAGACAAGTTTACAAAACAAAGACATCTTATTGCCAATTCAAATAAAATGCATCTCACAAGTCTTTTTTGGAGAGTCTGACATTTACATGATTTCTAACAAATTAAAATAGTGAGTCTGTTTATTTTTTAATTACCAATTTGAATGACCATCTGTGGAGGAGCTGAAACATTAAAAAAAAAATTGGTTAATGCAGCTCAAACTTAAACTTCACAGTTATTAAAGCATGTAATTTATGAAAATGAAAGATAGGAAGATAATAAATCATGTAGCATTCTTGCAGTGATTCGCTCAGATAAGGCAAAAAATTGTATTTTCTTATAAAATAAATTTAGTGAATTGGCTTATTGGACTGATGTTTTTCTACTTATTGAGAACATATACAATGAAATTCTAGAAAAGTTAATACATGTATTTAGGTTTTTTTTTTTAAATATAACCTCACTGCTGCTGAGTCAAATCCAACTCATAGCAACCCTTCCTTGGGTTTACTGCAGCCAAGTCGATTCAACTCATAGCGACCCCTCCTCGGGTTTCCAAGGCAGTTATCTCTATGGAAGCAGATTGCCCAATCTTCCTTCCGAGTGGCTGGTGCATTTGAACCAGCAGCCTTCTGGTTAGCAGTCAAATGCCTTAGGCGTTAAGCCACCATACCACACATCTTCAATAAGTTTATATTTAGTGAACTTAATTCCCACTTAAACACACTTAAGCAAACCATTTCACTAAAACACTCCACACTTACAGAGAGGCTAAAGTCATAAATGGCCACCCATAAATATACCAAGAAGGATACAACAGGCATATCCCTTAAACCAAGTTTTAAAATAATAACATAATAGATGTTTTTAAGAAAGTATTATTTTAAATAACTCTTGGACAACAAGTTAATTATGATATAAGCTTACTTAGGTTTACTGCCAAATATAATTATTTAAGCAAATAAATGAATTCCTAAAGGAAAGTTTCATTCATTAATGCTTCATCAAGAGTTGCGAAATACATGCCTGATTTTTGTCAATAACATGTATTAACAGAACTTACTGGGCTGGAGACATCTGACTATCACTTTCTTCATCTTCTTTACATGGCTGTATTTTACCATAGTAAACTGGATCACCAAGTGACTGCATAATGGTCAACTTTGTTTTCTGATACTGATTACCAGCTTCACATTCAAACACATAATCATCTTTTACCTCCTGAAAAAGATGATTCAAAATAAATACCTTCTCAAGTTAATAAATAATCAGAATGAACAAAAATCAGGAAATAAAATGACTAACTTGTGTTTGGCAATACGAAGGAATCTGGCATGTAGACTTACAGAGCAGTCTAGACCACCTAAGATCATAAAGTGCAGGATTCTTTTATGTATGGTATTTTGCGAATGAAGGATGCCCTGGGCAGTGCCAATCATTAACATATTTGGCTATTAACCAAAAGGTTGGAGGCTTGAGACCATGCAGAAGCACCTCAGAAGAAAGGCTTGATGGTCTATAGCCAAAAAAACAGCCATTGAAAACCTTATGGAGCATAGCTCTACTCTGACATACACAGGGTTACTATGAGTTAGAAACGATCAGCAAATTGGTTTTGTTTGTATGTTGTATTTTCATGAAGAATAAGAGTTCCAGTGGAATACTAATAAAGTTTTAAGAGGAATATGGCAGAGTATCATATACTAGACATATGAATTATAAATATTAAATAATATCAAGAGGATAAAATCTTTGAAAGCAGTTCTCTACTTGTTATGAGTGGTTTTTTCTTTTTGTTATCACAAATATTTGTTAATCATTCATTTCTTAAAATAAAAAACACAGATGATGTTGAGTCGATTCCAACTCTTGGTGACTTCATGTGTACACAGAAGAAGTGCTCCACAGGATTTTCAAGGCTGTAACCTTTTGGAAGCAGACTGCCAGGCCATTCTTCTGAGGCACCTCTGGGTGGGTTCAAATAGTCAACTTTTTGGTCACTATTTGAGAACTGGGAGCTCTGGTGGCATAGTGCCTAAGGCATTTGACTGCTATAGAAGGCTGGCTGTTCAAACCCACCAGCCACTCCCCACAAAGAAAGCTGGCCAGAGTGATACTGCCTTGGAAACCCAAGGAAGGGTCGCTATGAGTCGAATCTGACTTGATGGCAGTGTGTGGGAGAGTTGAGAACTTAATTATTTGTACCACACAGGGAGTCCTACTTTAAGGAGCAGAAAAATCCTTTTTAAGAAAGGATTATTGAAATTAGAGGAAGTTATTCCTGTTAAGAGATGGATATTCTTAGAAAAACTTACTATTACTTTGAAATAGAAAACTAACAGAACCAATATGCAACCAAAACAAAAGTAAAACTGCATTAAAATTAGTCTTTAAAATGAAGACCATACTTTACATATAAAGAAAACAGGAAAAAGTGTTTCTTCTGATAATTCACTGAATCGCCACAAAGTCCTTTAAAATGTTCCAAATTATATGCAACCACACTTTATGTTTAATAAATTTGTATCCCAGATTAGACACATCTTACTGGAAAGGGAGATTGGCAATACTTACATGGGCTGGCCATACCGTTGGCTGTGAGTCATCAGATTTGATAGACTTTTCCACTTTAGCATATTTTTCTACCTAAACAATCAAATGAAGAGAAAATGGATATAATGGAATCAGTATTCTGACCAAAGGCAAGAATGTAAATTAAAAAAAATGCAATATAATTTTTATCAGAATAATTCTATTAACTCTTGAATCACTAGTATCACCAACTACTTAACTTCAAGTAGTTTAAAACTTTCCTGATAAATTTAGCAAAAATAACTGGCTTTAAAATGAAAATAAATAAATCAATCAATCACTACTGCCATTAAATAAGCGTAATAAACCCATGTGCTTTCCTGGACAGTGTCTTTTTTTTTTTTAAGTTCCCAAACTGACATCACATTTGTCTTTATTATAGTCTTTCCTTTAGGAAAATTGGGATGTTAAAGAGAAGATAAAAACGAGGATCTTTTCCCTTTTGTCTTAGTTTTTAAGGAGAAAGGCATAGTCACACAATAGTGCAGACAAAACTGGAAGATGACTGGGAAAGATAAAATATTAACGCTGATAAAATTTTTGTGACATTTTGTCATTTTCTAGTCAGACTCGAGCCAAGTTTGTGTGAATCAAATGTTCTCATCTTCCTGAGTCTAAAGTAACTGAGACTCATGTGGACACTTATTAAAAACATAAATTCCCATGTCCCTCCCTGTTGTTGTTATGTGCCATCGAGTTGGACCAAACTCATAGCAAACCCCTCCTTGGGTTGCCGAGGCAGTATCACTATGGAAGTAGACTACCTAATCTTCCTTCTGAGGAGTGGCTGGTGGGTTTGAACCACCAGCCTTCTGGTTAGCAGTCAAGTGCCTTAGGCACTATGCTCCCAGAGCTCCGTTGTCCCTCCCTAGAGACCTTGATTTAGTAACTCTGAAGCTGAGCTTGAAATCTGTATGTTTAACTGCTGCTCTGGTGAGTCTTTGGATCCAGCAAGAGACAGACTTTCTATTAGCTAAGGCCTTGCTCCTCACAGTGTGATGTGTGGAAGCCCAACATCTAAATCACCTGGGAGCTTGTTAGAACTGCAGTATCTCAGCCCCTAACCCACACATTAGATTCTGTATTTTAACAAGCTCCCAGATGATTTATATGTACATTAAAGGTTGGGAAGCTTTGGGTATACAACCTGTCATGGAAAACAAAATTCCATCCTTCGGTATTTACATTGAACATCTACTTATATGCCTTGTTCTTTGAGGCGCATATGAGCTTCCAAAAGATAATGTGTCTTTCTCCCTTCAGTTGTATACCGTTTACTTCTAATATTTCTTTGTGCTTTTCACACATGTTCACATAGGTAACATGGAGAATAAGGAGCTCTGGTAACATAGTGCCTAAGGCACTTGACTGCTCACCAGAAGGCTGGCGGTTCAAACCTTCCCTCGGAAGGAAGGCTGGGCAATCCTACTTCCATAGTGATACTGCCTCAGAAACCCAAGGAGGGGTCATTATGAGTCGGGGCCGACTAGATGGCAAACAACAACAACAACAGTGGTACACTGGTTAAGTGCTCAGCTGCTAACCAAAAGGTTGGCAGTCTGAACCAACCAAATGTTCCTTAAGGAGAATGACCTGACAGTCTGCTTTTACAAAGATTACAGCCTTGAAAACCCTACAAAGCATTTCTGTTCTGTCCTATAGGACTGTTTAAGAGTTGAAATCAACTCCACGACAATGGGTTTGTTTTTTTGTTGGATTTAACATGGAGAATGTTAGAATCTGCATTTTAACAAGCTACTAGGTGATTTATATGTACATTAAAGGTTGGGAAACTTTGGATGTCCAACCTGTCCAGGAAAACAAAATTCCATTGTTTGGTATTTACATTCAACATCTATTTATATGCCTTGTTCCTTGAGGAGCATATAAACTACCCTGTGTGCTACCCTGGGAAGGAACCCAAAGAAAAAGAGCAAGCATGTATTAGAAATACTAATCAACTGTCAAGTGTTGACTGAATAATAAAAAAGGAAAACAGGAGAAACAGTAAAATAAAAGAAATACGAAACATTTCATCAAAACACTCCTCCTTCTGTCTTTGATCATTTACAATTCATGTGTATTATGGATCAGCAAAGAGTATCTCCCTAAATCTTACCTACTGCTCAAATATTAATTTTTAAATAACTTAAAAATATTTTGAATGTAAATAAAGTCTGATGAAATATGAAAACACTACACGTACTTCATGTGTTTATGTGATATTTACCATATTTTCCACGTTTAAAAAATTATCCGGCTTATTATTACTGCTGTAAACACTGAAACATATTTAGGGTCTAAATTCACTACCCAACAATATGAAAGAAAAATACACAGCTACTAAAAATATACTTATTTTTAAAAAATTTTTATTGTGATTTGGGTCAAAGTTTACAGAGCAAATTCATCTTCCACACAGCAGCTCACAAACATTGTTTCATAACGTTGACTGCAATCTCCCACAATGCAACAGCTCCCTGCCCACTTCCTCCCCATAGCCACCTCTTCCCTGTGTCCTTCCCACCAATGCACTCCTGCCCACAGAGCTGTCTCCGTGTGCACATTCAGGCCTTCTATTCTCGAAGGAATGTATCTATCTAATGTAAATGCTCAGCTCATATGCCTGACTTTTGTTTGGCTGGGAGCCACCGGAGTGGCTTCAATTCCAGACCTGAAGAGCAGCTAGGGGCCAGAGTCTCAGAGGTTCTACTAGGCTTGATCAGACCAGCAAACCTGGTCCCTTTTTTTATTTTTAAATAAATAAAATAATAAGAAGCATCTGTTTTTTTAAAGAAAACAATTATTTTGCTTTTTAAAGATGTAAACCTTTTTTCACCCCAAGTATAAGCTACCTTTAGTTAAACTAAGGAACTTTACATGAAAAAAGCAATTCATAGATTGACTTACATCCACTTCAGAAGGTATGGCCAAATTACAGGGATTCTGTTTCCACATATCTACACACTAAAAAATTGAAAACAATATAAATGCTCTGAAAATTCAAAATAAGGCAAGGTTTTACCATATTAATAAGCCTCATTTAAAAATATATACTTACATTTCCTGCTTTAGAGATTTTGAGGTCATAATGCTGACCTGCTTTTCTGTCTTTTCTTTTTTGTAAGAAATCAAGTAATTTTAGCTGAGGAGGAGGTGGACAATGAGAGAGATCCTGTTGCCGATTTAGAGAGGACCGAGAATACCTTTTGAAACACCTAAAATATTGAGAGATTTGAATTAAATAAAACTCATAAAAGAAACTCAGAATATGTATTGGTTTAACCAGTGAGCACTGACTAATGAAATTACAAACATTCACAGAACATTACCACATGACAAGCAGGGTCCTAGACACTGGTGAAATAACTCTAAACAGGGCAAACAAAATCCCTGACACCATGGAGCTGGTACTGGGGAGGAGGGTTGGGGGAGGACAGATATTTAAAGGAAACAGATAATTTCAGATAGCAATAAACTTATCAGAAAACATAAACAAGAAACAGGGTACTGTGGCAAATGACAGGGAAGGCAACATTAGGGAAGGGAAGGAGGGAAAAGAAAATGAAGGACTCTACAGAAATGGCACGCAAAGTGAACATATGACAAGAAGCAGTAGCATCACTAGGAGGATGCAGACCACGCTGAGTGACAGCCATGAACCAAAATGACTGTCTATAAAATTTTTGTGCAGTGTTTCAGCAGAAATTTTTATTTTGGGAAAAAAAAAAAAAACCAAACCTGTATTTAGTTATTACAAGACTAGGCAATCTACTTCCCTAAAGATTTACTGGCTTACAAACCTAATAGGGGATTCTATGGGTCAGAATCGACTTGATGGCAATGGGTTTGGTTTTGATATTTTAGTTATTAACAACAAACATTATTCATATGCCCAGCTTATATGCATCAATATGCATACTGGGCTAAAACTCTATGCTAATTTTCTTTTTAAAGCTTCTAATGGGCTCAGGTCAGAGCTGTCATTATTACTCAATTACAATGACACTTTGAATCAGTTTCATCTGCATGCACGGAAGCAGGTGCTGCAGTTACTGCTGCCAGTGTTTCTGCAGTTGCTGATTTTGTCAAATTTTCTGGTGTTTTAGTTATGATATTGTAGTATTAGTATTTGTGAGCCTATATATAACGTTTTTGAGAATGAAGTAGTAATTAAAGGAAAAGGTGAAAAATGAAAAAAGGTTTTTGCTCAGTTACTAATATAGTTCAAACTAATAATGTCGTTCAATGTAGAAAAATTTTACAAAACAATTTTAGTTAGTATTCATATAATAAATATTACATTTAAGAAATTACAACTGTACTTACACCTATTCTACGATTAAAATTGATAATTAATGTTACTAAGGATTCTGTATGCTCTGGAATGGAAGGAGGTCCATGGGAGTGACACCATGACTTAATGACATCAACCCTAGTGATGCTACTGATGAGAACAAAGAGGCCACGGGAAAATCAGGGAATGAGAATATGACATAGCAAGAAGAATTTTAAAAAGTACTGAGGTAAAAACAAACTAGTTTGTTTCAAAACTAGAAAAAGGTAGTTGTGACTAGAGTAAAAGGGTCCACAAAGTAGGAGATGATATGAGAGAATAAAGCAGTAGTAACCTTGCAAGTCATGCCCAAGTGCTTAGATTTGAACTGAAGTGCAAGCAGATGCTTTTAAGGAAATATGAGCAAGGGGTGGCATGATCTGGTTTGAAGTTTTTAAAAAATTTACTCTGGTTGCTTACATGGCAAGTAAGAATGAAAGGGAGCAAAGGTGGAAGCAGGAAGACAAGTTAAGAAATTTTTTTTTTTTTTTTTAACAAAGTTAGGACGAAGATTACAGTGGCTCGGACTTAGGTATTAGCAATAGGGATAGAAAGATGTTATCAGACTGCTGATGAATCCTGTGTGGAATTATTTCACTCATTCCAAAGCCATACCTTTTCCTCAGCATACAGTAATTCATGTAATTTAGAAAATGGATAGGCTTTTTGAATGCCTTCAAATCTGAAGAAGATCAGAAGTGGGCAACTCAAATAATTATTTAAAGATTACTTAATAAGCCAGGAGCTCCGGTGGCATCGTGCCTAAGGCATTTGACTGCTAATTAGAAGGTTGGTGGTTCAAACCTGCCAGCCACTCTGCAGAAGACTGGGCAATAGACTTCCATAAAGATGTATTGCCTTGGAAACCCAAAGGGGGCAGCTATGAGTCAGAATTGACTTGACAGCAATGAGTTTGGTTTTTCGGTTAAATGAAAAGCCAATTACAATCGCAGTTCAAATTAATACGCATTGTTTTATTTGTTAATTAGAAAGATAGCTAACACATGTAAGACACAATTACCATACTATACAAAGACACTGTTTTGTTATAATCTAACTTCTAAAACTTGATTATATTTTCCCAAATCTAAAAAACAATTATGAATTCCATTAAAGTAAGATTTTCAAAAATTAGTCTCTCTCTTCTTAGCCACTCTGCTTTTTTGGTGAACAGACTATAAACTTACAGAGAGTTTGTTCTCTAAAAGACTGCAGAGCGGGCATTACTTTGATATCAAGCAGAGACTATTCAAAAATCGTAATACTCATGGAAAAAAAAATTAATATAAAATCATTAAAAAAAAGAAAAACACTTTGGAAAGAGAAAAAAAAAACCTATTAGAAAAATTTAGAGCTACTTGTCACAGGAACACCTTTTTATTCAGCCTTCCACAAAGGCAATTACCGTTTCATTGGGCGAGTGTTCATCTTCTGCTTGTTATAGAGCAGTCTGTTTGCAGTGCAGGCTACAGCCACAGAAGGGTCAAGACACAATGGTTCAGCTGTAGCTAAGATCAGTTGGCTCTCAAGCAAAAGTTTGTCTTCCTGAAATGTATTAATACATAATACACATCAATATCAGACTTAAAAGCTTCAACTATGACATTATACATATAACTCCTAGAAATATTCCTTCAAATTTTGCTAAGAAAAACAATACCATAGTTCAAGTTCCAACTTTACTATGCAAACTTCAGAATCCTGACAGCATAAATTGCTAATGAAAATTCAATAATCTATGCAGTGCAAAAACAGTCAGAGTGCCTATACAGTAAGTAAACAAGTATTTACGTTAGGCATTGTTCTACGAGTTAGGGATAAAGCAGTGAGCAAAACTGATAAAATCCTCTGTCCTCACAAAACTTACAGGGTCATGACTGCATCACTTTCAGTAACCAAGAGATAATGGTCATATTCTATACTCAGCTTAACTACATTCTCAAGGCCGTGGAGTCGGATCCTACTCATAGCGACCCCTCCTTGGATTTGAACCACCAACCTTCTGGTTAGCAGTCAAATTCCTAAGCACTACGCCACCAGAGCTCCTGTATAACAAAATTAAAAAAGACCGATACTAATACACTACCAAAACCCAGTGCCATGGAGTCAATTCTGACTCATAGTGACTCTCACTGGGTTTCCAAGGCTGTAAATCTTTATGGAAACAGATTGCCTCATCTTCCTCCTGTGGAATAGCTGGTGGGTTTAAACTACTGACCTTCTGGTTAGTAGCCAAAGTCTTACCCACTACACCACCAGAGCTCCTTACTAACATACTAATACTATGCAAATTTAATATGCTGAATTCCAAAATGCATATAGGGCTTTTACAAGTATTCTATAACTTATTTACTAAATTTTACTATTTTGCTTAACCCTTGAAATATTTTAGTAGGTATAACTAATATTTTTAATAATATCTTACTGTGTTTTGAGTAAAGGTTTACACAGCGATTTAGGTTCCTACTCAATAATTTCTATACAAATTGTTAAGTGACATTGATTACATTCTTTGCAGTGTGTGAACATTCTCAGTAATTCTATTCTGATTGTTCCACTTATAACTAAATTCCTAAAAGTCAAACAACTGATAGTATTCTAAAACAAAAATTTTTGCAAAAAAAAAAAAAAAAAGGCATATGAGCTGAACATTTACGTTAGGTAGATACACTCCTTGGAAAGATCAATCATATAGAAAATGAATAACATACTGCTCAAAAAC